ATCATTGAATTATTGATTTCTAGTTTAGTTCCACTGTGGTCAGGAAACATACACTGTACCATTCTTTTAAAATTTGTTTAGGCTTCCATATGGTCAACTTTGCTAAAACTTCCATGTGCACCTGAGAAGAATGTGCATTCTGCAGTTGTTAGACATAGTGAATATATGCCAGTCAGGCCAATTGGTTGTGTTATTCAAATCTGCTACTCCTTACTGTGTGGGTTATTTGTTTTCCTGCTTGCTCTATGAGTGACTGAGAGAGCTATGTTAAAAATCTGCTATTATGATGATGGATTTGTCTATTTCCCCTTTTAGCTTAGTCAACTTTTGCTGTATTTAAAGCTGTGTTATTAGATGCATTTAGGACCATTGTATTTTCCTAGTGAATGAAACTTTCATCATTATAAATGTCCTATATTATAAAATGTCCTTCATCTCTAGTAACACTTGCCTAAAATCCTACTTTGTGTATGATATATAGTTACATCTTTTTTGGTTTGTTTACTGGGTTGATGGATTAACTATTCCATCCTTTAATTTCACCCTTCTGTGCTCACATACTTGTCTCTTGGAAATAACATACTGGGTTTTGATCTTTCATTCAGTTTGACTCTCTTTTAGTTGGATTATTTGGCCCATTTGCATTTAGGATAATTACTAATAGTGTTGGGTTTAGCTAACCATTTGCTGTTTTTCCAAGTTGTCCTATTGTTTGATCCTTTGGTCCTCTTGTCCTTTCTTTCGGATTAATTGAATTTTTAAAAAATCTTATTTCCCCCTTGAATCTTAGATTTTTATTTATTCTTGTAATTATTTCAGTAGTTACCCTAGAGATTATATTGATCCATGATTTTAGTTTTCTTAAATTAGTACTTTTACCACTTCGCAATTAATGTAAGGATCTTACAGGTACTTAACTCCACTTACCTTCCTTCCACCACTGTTGTTATATATTCTGTAAAGTATGCAAGGCTACTTCAAAAAGTCTGTGGAAAAATAGAACTAAAAGATAATACAAATGTTTCCATTTTTTTTTTTTTTTTTTTTTTTTTTGACCAGTAAGGGGATCACAACCCTCGGCACGGTGTTTTCTGCACCACGCTCAGCCAGTGAGTGCACGGGCCATCCCTATATAGGATCCGAACCCGCGGCCTCGGTGCTACTAGCACCACACTCTCCCAAGTGAGCCATGGGGCTGGCCCTTTCCATGAACTTTTTGAAGTACCTTCACAACAGTGTAGGTCAAGACATTATTACCGTTATTTAAATAGACAATATTCTTTTACATTCGCCTACATATTTACCCTTTCCATCGCTCTTCATTCTTTTGATTCTACGCTTCCATCTGGGGTCATTTGCCTTCTGGCTGAAGTACTTCCTTTAGTATTTTTTAATAGCACAGGTCTGTCACTGCCAAATACTCTCAGCTTTTGTCTGCCTGAAAATGCCTTACTTTGCCTTCATTCTTGAGAATATTTTCACTGAGTATGATTAACAGAATTTTTTCCCAGTACTTTAAAGATTAATTCCCCTGGGTTCTGGATCCCAAAGTTCCTGCAGAAAAGTCAGCCATTGGTTTTATTATTGCTCCTCTAAATGTCATGTGCCATTTCTCTCTGGCTGTCTTAGGATTTTTCTGTTTATGGTTTTCAGCAGTTTTACTATGATAGTCTTAGATGTGGTTTCTTTTTCATTCCACATGTAGTTTGCTGAGTTTCATGGATTTGTGGGATAATGTCTTTCCTCGGCTTTGGAAAGTTCTCATCATCAAGTTATTTCATCAAATATTGTTCGTACCCCATTCCCTTTCCTTCTGGGACTCCAATTGCACACATATATAGATCGTGCCCCACGTCTTGTATGCTCTGTTCTTGTTTGTTCATGTGTTTTTTGCATTCATTTTACTCTCTTTGCTTCAGTTTGGGTAGTTTCTATGGACCTATCTTCAAGCACTAATCCAGTCTTCTGCTGTTAAATCCATGCAATGAGTTCTTAATTTCAGATGTTTTCTAGCTCCTTTTTCAAAAAACAAAAAAATCTTTTTTGTGGTAAAATTTATAAACCATTTTAGGTGAACAAAATTAAATGATTTTTAGTAAACTTACAGTTGAGCATCTATCAACACAAATCATTTTTTTTCCCTTTTTAAAGAATATGTTTTGGATGACATTTAAATTGAATTTTAATTCAAGCACAAGGAAGGAAACCCATATATCTTTGTCAGTCAACCTGTCAATACACTGATTACCCAAAATGTTCGTAAGGCAAATTGCCACCTTGCAATTTTCAAAATTTAGATATAATTTATATACCACAAGGCTCACCCTTTTAAAGTATAATTCAATGGTTTTTAGTATATTCACAAAGTTTTACAACTGTTCCTACTATTTCATTACAGAACATTCTCATCATCCCCCAAAGAAACCTCATACCCATTAGCAGTCACTCCCCTTGCCCCCATCCCCTGGCAACCACCCATCTATATGTCTCTATAGATTTGCCTATTCTGGATATTTCATATAAAGGAAATCATAGAATATGTGGCTTTTTGTATCTGGCTTCTTTCACTGAGCAAGTATCAGTACTTTATTCCTTTTTATGTCTCAACATTGTTCCATTATATGGATATATGACATTTTGTTTACCCATTCGTCAGATGGACATTTGGCTAGTTTCCATTTTTTGGCCATCATTAATAATGCTGCCATGAACATCTATGTATAAGATATGTAGACATATGTTTTCAGTTCTCCTGGGTATAAACTTAGCAGTAGAATTGCTGGGTCATATGGTAGCTGTTCAATTTTTTCAGGAACTGCCCAACTGTTTTCCAAAGTGGCTGTGCCATTTTCCATTGCCACCAGCAGTGTATGAGTTCCAATTTTTCCACATTTGTTATTGTTTGCCTTCTTGATGATAGCCATCCTAGTGGGTGTGAAGTGATACCTCATTGTGGTTCTGATTTGCATTTCCCTAATGGCTAGTAATGTTAAATTTTATGTATTTACTGATCTTTTGTATATCTCCTTCAGAGAAATGTCTATTCAAATTCTTAGCCCATTTTTTAATTGGGTTGTCTTTTTATTCTTAAGAATTCCTTACATATATTCTGGACACTAGACCCTTGTCTACAACCCATTTTTAAAACAATTCCATCACTCCATAAAGATCCCTCATGCCTGTCTACAGTCAATCCCCACTCCTAGGCAACCTAGTGCCAGGCAACCACCCACTAAGATGCTTTCTGTGTGTTTTGGGCAGGCCCCTCTCTCTAATGAAAACTTATCTCCTAAGTATTGTGAAGTTTAGGGAGATTTAGCTCTTTTAGAAGCCCTAGGCTTAGCTTCTATCATACCATGTACAGCTCTAGAGTTCAGCAAATGTTCTGTGAGAAAACCATTTATTTGGGGTGTCTCAGGTTTCCTGCATGCTCTATAACCAAGAGCCCTAAGATTGTCTTTTCTCCAGTAGAGCACCTCTGCGTGGGCCAAACCCCATCTTCAGTTCTGGGCCCAGAATCAGCAAATGCCCTCAGAAGAGGTGGCCAGACCATCAGTTCACCTCAGAAGAGCTTGTCCCTCTGAAATTCCAGTTCTTTAGTCCTTATTGCTTGCCCAGTATTCTGTTGTTTAAGATAGTTTGTTTTAATTAATCCAGTTTTTTTCTGGTTGTGGCAGGAGTATTGTGTTGTTGTGACCTACTACATCTTAGCCATCAATTACTATAAGTTTTTAATGTCTTGATAACTTGTCAGGCAAGTTCCCTTTCTTTCCCTACCCCCAGATATATGAGTATGTTGGTTATTTGGGGGAATAACACTTTCATATGAATTTTTGAAATTCATTTATCTAGTTTCAAAAAAAACAGTTGGGATTTCGTTGGAAAATATATTCAATTTATTGTTCATATAGGAGAGTACTTCGAGAAGTTTGTGGAAAAAACAGAATTAAAATACAAATCCTTCCATGGACTTTTTAAAGTACCCGCATATTATTATTCAATAATACTATTATTTATATTAAATTATTTGAGACCAAACTGAAGTTCTTATGCTTTTGAGCTCTCCATCCATGAACATGGTATACCTATCCATTAAGCAAATTTCTACTAGGCCTTTTTAAAATATCTTGTACTTTTCTCTGTAAAGAAATCGCACATTTTGTTAGATCTGATCCTATAGCTTATAGTTTAGGACCTTTATTTTTTAAGCACTTCTTGTTCTTTAGAATAGGTTCTATAAGGGTACTTCAAAAAGTTTGAGGAAAAATCAAATTAAAACACATTTCCATGAACTTTTTGAAGACCTCTCATATATTCACCAGTTTCTCAAAGCTCGAAAATGTGTATGTTGATAACTTCCTTCCCACTTTCCTCAGCTTCCCTCAAGAAAAAAATTGTTACCAATTTCTCTATTAACTTTTTAAAAACAGATTCAAAATTTTCCATAGCTCTAGTAACTTTTAATGTGGCTAATATTAGTATATGGTAATTATATTGATTTTTTTCCTCAATCTTGTATCTAGAAATCCAGCTAAATTCTTATTTCTAATAATTTCTAAGTTGTTTTGAACTTTATACACACATACGCATACCATCTTCAAAGAGCAATCATTTTATCACTTTTTTTCTATTTCTTATTCTCGTTTATTTAGGATATCTCTAAATGAAGTTGCTGTGGAAAGTAGCTGGATAGCACCTGTGATAGACAGCAACCCTGTCCTCGAGGTTATAGTAATAAAGTTATTCCTGACTTTAATGAGGGCTTCTGCTTCATACTTATATATGAAGATTCTTGGTAGAAGTCTTTATCAAGTTAAAAAAAGAAGTTACGTTTGGTCCTATCTTGCTAAAAATGATTCATGAATGTTTTTATCACATTATTTTCTGCACCTATTGAAATGTGCTAAATCACCCACTCATAGAAAAAAAGTAGTCTCAAATAAAACACTTTATCCAATGTTGTTATTTATTTTCATCAGGGGGAAAAAAAGAACCCTTTATGATAGTGAAAATATACTTTATTTTTTTAGTACAATAGCTGCCAGCAATATACTTGTATTGATGTTCCAGAGAGAGAAAAGAAAATACAAGTACTCTAAACTTTCATTTGCCTGCTGAAGAAAATTCTAGAGAAAATATTCCAATTCTGTTCAACATTATGGCTAGAGGAGTTGAAAATTTTTTTCCTGATAAAAATATAATTTTGGTGGCCCCAACCACAATAATTTGTAAAGGAAGGAGTTTAAAAAGCCATGTATATCGTAATGAATGCTTCCCTCTCTTGGAATTAAATATTGATTATAAGCAGTGTAAGAAATTGATAAATCAATAAACTTCATGAAATGTGTATCAAAATGTTCATGAAAAAAATACATTTCTATTTCCTCTCATTTTTACTTTGTAGATATTTTCTAAATGGGTTTTGTAAATGCACAGAAATAAAAACTATCTACATGCAACTCTGGAGAGAATCAAAACACAACAGAAGTAAAGTGAAAATGCCTAAATTCTAGAGTTGATCCACTTAGTATAAGAATAAATGTCAGAAATCTCTTAATTGTACACATATTGCTCAAGGGCTTAAAGATAAGTTGTGAAAGCCAGAGTTACCAAGAAATAAAATCTTATTTGAATTCTATCACAAAAGTTAATAATCCTAGCACAAGAAGAGAACAGAACCGTATAGAAAACCTGCATCTACATCAAAAAAGGCAAGTTACATTAAGTGGAATAGTAGAGAGCTTTCCAAAGGTTGAATACAATGATTTTTCAAAATCCCTTGGAAAATAATGAGACCTTCCATCCAGATCTCCTCGCTGAAGTGAAACACGAAAGGGGAAATGATTCCTTAGTTGTAGAAATAAAATCAGATGATTTCCACGTTAATACATATGCTACACAAACTGCCAAGAAAACTTTAATGTCCCAAATATCTCAAGATTTTAAGCCATGATCTTTCCACAAATATACAATGGGATAAAAGCATGTTGTAGGGTCATCCTTCTTACTAGCTTTCGTCCATTTGCCAAACTCAATTTCATGTGAATAACTTCCCTCATAAAGTAATAAAATCTGTCTTTCTACAGAGAAAAATAATTCTGCCTTCATCAAAATCATAGTAGACCTGACTTCCTTGGACATCCAGAGGGACAGCCAACTGTAATCGGTGGATAAATAAAAAACAATAGAATAAATATCCAAAGTGAAAATACTTCACAACTGAGGTTCAGAACGTATTTTTTGTCACTCTGTTTTGAGAATTGGAGCTCTTTCCTCTGTCAGCCCTCTATCCTGCACCACTTAGCCCACCATTCATTAGAAAAAAAGACACCCTCCTCTTGAATCTTTTTTGAACTTTAAGCTATGAGGCAAGGCTCAATATCACCTGAAGGTCAAGTTGCCACAATTTAAAAGTAGATGAAGAGTGACAGCTTGTCCGTGCACCAGTGCGGACAGGGCACTTTCACCCCCTGAAGCTACTGCAACACAATCTCTCAATAGATAACTAGAGGGTGCTTCTTCCTGGAACCAGACACATCATCACCCAACATTTAATTACAAAAAAATGGGTGCTCAAACTTTTGATCAGCAATAAGGAGTTCTAAAAAAGGTAAGGGAAAGGAATCTCCCTGAGCCAAATGGACACAATATAGAGTTTTTCTTATGTTTCTATACTAAGCTAGTTACTGACAGGTAAAAAATGCAGAATGCTTATAAAAGTCAGGCTGCTTCCACAAAGCCAGTGCTTACTAAATGCTAGCATATCAAAGGGGAGAAAATATTGCCATTTTAAAGCAATATACTTAAAATTTCAAAAAACAGCCTATCAGCCTATGAGAAATAACACTTCTTAAACAAGTTAGGTATAAAAAATTACCAAAAATGTATTACAGTCACAACCACAGTTTTTTAAAGTAGTACTTAGAAAGTCCATTTTTTGGTTTTTTAAAAATGAATTACATACATAGAAAATTTTTAATTTTTAATCACCAAGTTCATTCTCCCTTGTTAGAGCACAAATAGTTCCTGGTTTGGGACTTCGATTTCAAAAACAAAAAAAAACATACAGGGTTATATTCTCCAATGTGGCTGTAGAAAATTTAACTTGAGGAAGAGCAGTAATTGAGATCAGGCAAAACTGTTAATATGCACTCATCGTAACAACTATAATTTACTCCACAAGGAGTGAACAATCCTCTACGCAAAGTCTTAACAGTAAATGGGGATGGGATGGGAAAGTTGGCCATCTGGACAACTTTGGGTCATCTTTGGGTCATCTACATTAAACATGCTTTAGAAACAAAATTTTACTTGATATTTTGAGAAACCCACCCTACATTCCATAGGTTAATTTCTGTATGTGTTAACTTCTACATTACTAAACACTGTACTGCTATAGCTAAATCAACTAAATATCAGTTTATGTAGTGTTGCTCAAAAGATGTATAAACAGCAAGGTGTATGCTTACCTAAAAAGGAGCTTTTTAAAATGAGGGAAGAAAGCAATAATGTTCCAAATGAATGGCACTGGGCAAAATACACGTAACACGCAATACATTTAGACAGAGTATCAGGTACCTATCAGTTTCCCTTATAAGGATAAAATGCTTGAGGAAGATCTTGAGAATACACCCCTCCCTCTAAACTTTTAGCTTCTACATAGTGTCAGGTATTACAATTGGTATGGATAAATGCTTTTAGGCAAAAATAAAAATCTATCTACAAAGCAAAATAGCAAAATCTGTAGTGACTTTTTGTAGAAGGCTCTTCTCTCTGGTGGTAATATCCCTTAGTATACACCCAGGATAGACTATTTCTGATACAGTAGCAATCCTTTCATATACTCTTACTAAATATTACAAAATTTCAAAAAAAAACACATAAATATTCCTTGTACCATGCATCATGCACCAGTTTGGGGCTGACTGATGAAGTCATGGCTACTATTTTAACAGTTAAACATTGCACCTCAAAAGTTCTGCCTTCTATACACAATGAATGGACACAACGGCGAGGGCTCCAGAGAGATGGCAAACTACCTCTGCAGTGAAGTTTGTGTTGGAGTGTCTCCAAATGAGAGGAGGAGGAGGATACATGGGAGGTAGGCAGGGTAAAAGGATTTTACAATAATACTGCTTAGGAGTGTATATTTTAAGATAACTACTATACCTTGTCTATCCTTGACCCTAATCTTGAATAACTGCATGTTCATGCAAAATACAATTTCTACTTTATAGGAATAAGAGCAGTCTGTTAGGAAAAGCATATTCTTAGGGGAAGACAGAAAGATATCTCTCTCATAAGTGCTATTTTACTTGGTAAGTCTTTTGGCTACATCACTATATGCTATTTCAACCTCCTTATCACTGGGACAGGTATTGGTGAACTCATCCCTACTATAAGCATTAGTTAAGTATCTCCAGATGCCAGTCATTCCTTTTGGGATATCAAAGTTGCGATATTTTTTGGCCACCACCTGAAACACAAAGAGATCAAAAGTTAACAGATTTATTCTCCGCGTCTTGTAAACTAGACAAATCTTTGATTTTAGAACAAATTATTAATTCTGTGACTCTTTGTGGACTCCTATCTGAAAAGAAGTCTGTCACCATCATTCTAACTAGAGTCTTAAATAATGACCTGGGCTGCAAGTGACACCAGTGATTCAGAAGTGTGACAGTGACTACAAACGCCAGCCTTGGGGGCATCCAGAGAGAGACAGCCAAATGTAATCACTGGATAAATACTTTAAAACATACAATTTTAAAACTGTTTTTCTTGTCTTGGACCTTTATTGCACAACTAGTGCTTATTTCTACTCTATTTAGCAATGTGCCTAGCCTGGTGTCTCACATAATAAATGCTCAATGTTTTTTGCCTTGAACAGAAAAAGCCAGGTGATCACAGAATAGAATTTGACAATGTAAGTCAGTATAGCAAATTCCAATTAAAGTTATCTATTAAATCTCTGAATTTTTATGCACTCACAGAAAAAAATAAATAACATTCCTCTTTCTCACATGTCTCAATTTTAAGACATAATTTCCATTTAATTAACTATAGGGTGTTTCAACTATTGGTTAAACAGCATTAAGTTACACTACTTTGGGGGTTGCTAAACATATACAAGATCAAAAAAGCTATAAGCACAAAGGAAGTACTACCTTGGCAAATACAATACTAAGTAATGGCAATGGGACACCACATCCTACAGGCTTACCTTGACAATGTGCAGTTTGGGCAGCAGGTTGCAATCAGCTAATGTCATTTCATTGCCATCCAGAAATTTACGTGTAGAAAACTTAATGTCCTCCATACTATTCTCATCAATTTCATCAGGGAGGGGAGAATTCAGATATTCATCCAGTTTCTGCAGTGTTTTCAAGAGACCCCTCTCCAGTGCTGAAAAAAAGATGGGAAACTTTAAGCAAGAAGGAATACTACCCAAGCCCCAAAGTATAATCAGTACTCTTTCAGTCAATAACTGTTTATCAAATGCTTACTCTGACACTAGGCACTGCAGAACAAGACAGACAACATTCCTGCTCTCCTGGAGCTTATTACATGGGGCAGGAAATGAGACAGACAAATTTGTTTAGGCAAATGTATAAATAAGCATGATAGTTTCAGATAGCAGTATCAGTAAAAACTTATTAGTAACTAAATGTTCCACACATAAACATATTATGGCCCAACACAATCGATGTTTAAACTGGAAAAAATAGGTGGGAAAAGGCAAATCCATTAGTTTAAATCTAGGCAAGAAAATCTTGCAGAGACAGAAATTCTTGCCCTCAATTTTAAGTCCTGCTCCCCCAGGAATATTTGAATATATCATCAAGAAACGTATTAAGAAACACTAATACAACCCAGGAAGAAAGTGTGGGATTTCTGCGCTGTCTTATAATATACAAGCTAAGAATAGCACTATCTTCTACAAAAAGCAGAGGTCATATTAGAGAGTTCAATTTACAGTACCAAATTAGGAGGCTCTTCAGCCAAACAGATCAGATTATTATGATTCAGAGAGAAGTAGGACAAAGCCACCACTGTACGTCTGGAAAATCAAGGTTAGTGACCCTTAGCAGAGAGGGGATAGGAACGTCATTAGAAAGGAATATGGAATAAAAACAGATCTTCAATTATCCCTTCATTTTCTTTACTTCCCAATCCACCTTCCCCTCCCACTCTTGTAACAGATAAACTCACACTGATGATTATAGTACATGGCCATAAAACAAAGTTAAACATCATGAAGCGACAATCCATGCAGTTGCTAAGTGTGAATAAAGTTGGATCTTTTAAAGAAAAAGGTAAAGTTTTACATGCTGCACTTTAGATATTTCACCAGCAACATAAATATGTCCTAACCCCAATCCCTCTTCTTCCAAACTGCTGCCACCCGCTCACGTCTTGGTCCCTTTGTGGTAGCCCAGGCAACAAATGGTAGTCTTAGCTAAGTAAGAGGCTGTAGGCACAAGAAGGAATGAATGGATTTCAGGGGATAAAAATCAACAGAGTGCAAAAATCAAACTGAATATGAAAGAAGGGGGACAGATGTATTAAACAAAATGTAAGTCAAGCCCCTAGGTCTTACTCTAAGCACTGTTAAATTCACTGCTGAATGAAACATAAAAGGTTCCCAGTCTCAGAGAGTTTAAATCTTGGGGAGTGGGGGAATAGAGAAGCCGTTCAACAAACAACTCCCATGGTGAATGCTGGTACCATTTATTGAGACATTTACCTTCCTAAAGGAGAAGCAGAGTTAGGGGATGTGGAGATGAGTTCAGTTAATGTACTGAGTTTGAAGTGCCTGTAAGACATCTGAATAGAGAAGCCCAATGGACAACTGAGTTTCAGTGTCTAGAACACACTGGGCTAGAGCCATATATTTGGAAGTCCCAAGGAGCAATATGAACATTGAAGCTACAGGGAAAAGAAGGGGCAGAGGGCCTAAGGCAAGCCCTAAGAGATACCATTTAAAGGACAGGAAGGAGGAAGAGCCTGCAGAGAAGATTAAAAGGGAAGAAATACATCTTAAAGAATCTCAGAATTCAGAGCTGGAAATGCCTTCAAATCTTAGCCCAATCTTTCATACAAGGCAGACTCCTACAACATGCTATATCATTGGATTACTCTAATATGCAAAAATACAATTGATTTTTATAATGGCCTTATATCCTGCTACCTTGTTAATTCCTTTTTTTTATTCTTACAGTATATTTGTAGATTCTTTTGGGTTTCCTATGTACACATATTGTTTAAGAATAACCATGAATTATTCCTTCCTTTACAACTCTCATAAGGAAGATAATGTTGCTGGAATTCAAACACTGAAATAATGTCTCAAATACCACTTGAGTGGTATGGCCAGTTTGAGCAAGTTTATGATCTTGTACCTGATCTGAATTAATCCTTTTCCTGAATTACTTACCAAATGTATCAAATATAAAAATAAAATATCCTAAATTTACAAGTTTATAATATACAATGCTTATACTCCTAGATGTAAGGCACTGATGAAAATTAAGAAGCTAGCACATTACAATTACTGTTCTTTCTATAATTTGGGACTTAGCAATGAAATGCATATACAATGGTGGTCCCATAGATTATAATGGAGCTTTTGCCTACTGACATCATAGCCATCATAACATCATAACACGTTACTCACGTTTGTGGTGATGCTAGTGTAAAACCTACTGCGCTGCCACTCAGTACAGCACATACAGTTATGTACAGTACATACTTGATAATGATAATAAATGACTGTGTAACTAGTTTGTTTTTACTATACTTAATATTGTTATTTTAGAGTGTACTCCTTCTAATTTTTTTTTAAGTCAACTGTAAAATGGCCTCAGGCAGGTCCTTGAGGAGGTCTTCCAGAAGAAGGCACTGTTACCATAGGAGATGACAGCTCCATGCATGTCACTGCCCCTGAAGACCCACCAGTGGGACAAGATGTGGAGGTGGAAGATAGTGATATTGATGATCCCGACCCTGCATAGGCTAATGTTGTGCCTTAGTTTTTAACAAAAAAGTTTAAAAAGTAAAAAAAAGTTTTAAATTTAAAAATAGAAAAAAGCTTATAGAATAAGGATATAAAGAAGCAAAATACTTTTTGCAGCTGTACAATGTGTTTGTGTTTTAAGCTATATGTTATTACAAAAGAACTAGAATTTTTAAAAATATTTAAGTCCATAAAGTAAAAAAGTTACAGTATTGCTATGGTTAATTTATTATTGAGGAAAGAAAATTTTTTTAAAAAAATTAGCATAGCCTATGTGTACAGTATTTATAAAGCCTTCAATAGTGTACAGTAATGTCCTCGGCCTTCACATTTAATCACTCATTCACTGACTCACCCACAGCAACTTCCAGTCCTGCAAGCTCCATTCATGGTAAGTGCACTCCCCATACAGTGTAACAATTTATATCTTTTATAATGTATTTTTATTGTACCGTTTTTATGTTCAACTGTGCTTAGATACACAAATACCATTGTGTTACAATTGCCTACAGTAGTCAGTACAGTAACATGCTGTACAGGTTTGCAGCCTAGGGGCCATAGGCTATATCAGGCAGCTTAGGTGTGTAGTAGGCTATACCACCTAGGTTTGTGTAAGTACACTCTATGATGTTCATAAAATGACAAAATTGCCTAATGACGAATCTTTCAGAATGTATCCCTGTTGTTAAATGACACATGACTGTAGTTTGATACAATTTTTATGTATTAACATAAGGTATGGCCAATAAAGCAAACAAAAATAGAGGTACCAACAGGTAGAAAACAGCACCACTTAATAAACGTAAAAGTTTTGAAGACTAATGATCACAAAGAAGTATGAAGTTAGTTAAGATAAAGAAAATGTCAAGATTAACCACTAGAAGGCAGTAGCATGCCATTAGAAAGTAGCTCCTTGTCTTGTGGCGTTAATAAGTATCACTATTACTCACAAATACCCCTGCTGCAGTAATGCTGGTATCTCTTAAGATATTTCAAAAGCTCTCAAAAAAATTAATAAGTGCAAAATAGGCCACACAATCAGTTTAAAATTAAGAAAATCAAAACACCCTTTTTTGCCTAGGAGAATACAGCAAAATTAAAAAGATTAATATACACCAAAGTCAGAAGTGCAGAGAAAGGAACACTTTAATGTTAGTGGAAACATAAACTGATGTAGACTTTTGGAGAACAATTTGACAAAATACAATGGTCTTCAAAAAGTTCATGGAAAGGTTTGTATTATCTTTTAGTTCCATTTTTCCATGAACTTTTTGAAGTACCCTCATAGAGCAAAATTTTAAATGCACAAACCTTTTCACCTATTTAGAATCTAGCTCAAGGACATTAATTGGCAGTACTATTCGTAATAGTAAAAAAACTTGAGACAACCTAGATGTCTATCGACAGGCAAATTGTTAATAAAAATCAATATTATGGAATATTAAACACTATTTCTAAAAATCAAGGTAGATCTATATTTTGATATGGAAGGATTTCTATCACATAATAAGTGAAAAAGACAACAGCATAATGTGTATATATATATAAATATACAGTAATATAAAATGTGTGCAAAATGACATAGAAAAAAGGGTGCACACTAAATTATAAAAGAGGTTATCTAATGTGATTAAAGAGAGGGACTAAGTTATATTAAATTTATTTATTTCTATGCTATTTTAACTTTTCAGTAAGCATGTATTCTTTATTTGTATGATTGATATGAGTAAATTATAAAAGAGGTTATCTAATGTGATTAAAGAGAGGGACTAAGTTATATTAAATTTATTTCTATGCTATTTTAACTTTTCAGTAAGCATGTATTCTTTATTTGTATGATTGATATGAGTTAAATTCAAGTCAGAAAACATGAAATATAACAAGAGCATTTCTGTTGTTGAAAAACAATACAACTCACAATGAAGACAAAAAAGACTAAAAGTTATTAGTACTTAGATGGACCAAACTATATCTTAAAGCTATTGCTAGTTTTAATAAAGGGTAAGCTTATGCTCACAATTTTTGAAGGCTAGGTTACACATCAGTGGAGAATAGACAGGGAGTTCATGGGTATTTGCAGATAATTAAACGTACGATGCAGTTTCATAGCTACAGTGATGAAGAACCACCCTATGACTCCCAACACTTCCAGAGAGAGCAAGAAAGAGCAAGTGAGCAAGAGGGAGGGAAGAAGGGCGGACGGAAGAGCTCTTGAATAAAAAGGCACTTCTAGATTCCTTGCGTCCATTTAAAAATAGGAATTTGGACATTATGAAATATGCCTCAGAGCATATTTAACACATTTAACATATAAGAATATTATAAATACCAACACTAGTTACATTTGGGAACTTAGTAAATTACATAAATTAATGAAATCACAAAACCAAAAAAAACTTAGGAGATCTGGGACAAGCCACACCTAATCCATCCCCATAAAAGGAATTACCCATTAATTTCTCTTTTAATGCTTAAAAGTTTACAAGAACTTTTATTCCCAATCAACTTGGACATATCATCAAAAGAATTATACATTTCATCTATCATCAGTGTTTTCCTTTTTTTAATTCTTTAAGTCTTATTTATTTACTTTGTACCCAAATCTAAGCATTAGTCCTTCTGTTTCACTTTCACTAGCCCGAAACTGTAGCATCTTGACATTTAATCCCTTAATTAGTTCCTAAATGGTCTTAAAAATTGTCTAAACATATTGGATCTTGTAAAATATTTAAAAGGCTAGTAAAACTAATCAAAGA